TTAGTATTTGTTTATATTTTTCTTCTTATGAATAGCTTCAATTATAGCCTTCACCACAAGCCCCAGCCTCCCCAGTTTGTGTAGTTTTTGTGCAGCATTTGCCACTCACTGCCCATTCCTGGGACTCAGTGCCTGCTCACTCCATCACTACAGTGCCATCACCACAGTGCCATCACCACAGTGCCAGGGCCATCTCCCAGCTTCATATGCAGGGCTATGGCAGCGTTGCAGTATTTGACCACTTACCTTTGAAATACACCTTTGTCCGTGCTCCTTGCAGTCATGATGTATAGTTGCACAGGAATTTTCCTGGTGTTGAACATCTCCATGTCACTCCCTTTCTGTAGCACACACAAGGAATAGGAGGCTCCTGGCAAGAAGGCAGCCAGGCCAGTGGTTCCTGAGTTTTCTGGCATGCATTTGTAATCAGGGACTGAAGCTGGTTGCGCAGCAGGGCCATGAATACCAGGAGATGCTGAGGTCCTGGTGGGTACAGCACCAGTGCAGGCTCCCCTCTGTGCATGCTGCCCAGCCTCCTACCAGTTTCTGTTTACTCCTCAGTAAATGGCAATTAACACAGGAGAAATACTGACTTCCTTACATGCTACCAGCTGCCCTGGTTCAATAACTAGGTTAGTTAAAGGTTAAACCAGCCAAGGCATGGGCAACAAGTTTAAACTTAAAGAAAAATAAACAAAAACTCAAACAAACAAACCCAACAACAACAAACAAACCCGAAACAAACAAACAAACAGAACTTAGGAAAAAAAACCAAAACACAGCAAACGGGGAAAAAAAGAAAAACATAACTGAAGCCTGGGGGCAATCCTGGAGCAGATTCCCAGGCCCACGCGTAGCCATTGCTGTCCAGTCCCTTGCTCTCTTCTCTGTCCCTTGCCCTCTCTTCCACTGCCCTGCCATGCTTGCAGTCCACATCACAGCCATGCACACTGAAGCCATCGCATGTCTTGGGGCCTAAATGCACCTCAGATGAAAATGTGACATCACCACAGCAGCGAAACTAGCCTGTTTTCTTTGATGTACCCTGCTGTGATATATGAATAACTTTTTGTGTTATGTAGTAAATTATACCAGAAATCATAGTCCAATTCCAAATTCTACTATTTACCAAGCCTAATACAGCTTTAAGAACATTACACAGAATTTGTCTGAGCTTTTTTAAATCAATCATGGTTTAACCATACTTTTGCACACATTTTTCAATTTTCCTAGTGGCACATAAGTGCATTTGAAGCTTAAGATTTTGCAGCTTTGGTGGGAAAGACACATCTAACTCTCTACACTCATTTAGGGAATACATACTTTGGAGATAGTGTAATATGAAATTCTTCCACTGAGAAAATCAGAATGACAACTAAGGAACTGCCTGTGAATCTCAGCACAAGGTTTTAAAGCAGTGAGAAAATAATTCCTGTGCTAACACTGCCACCTATTGCCACCCGCTGAAAAACAGAAGACAGCTGTAGATGCCTGTTCTCGTCTCTTCTAGCCCTTCGGTATTTGTTGCAATGCTTTAATACCACTTTAATACCACTTTAATAACAGTGTTATCAGGGAAACAACGCAAATAAGCCAAAATCAAGTGATATGTCAAATGTATCTGCAGAACATAAGATAAACTCTGCAGAACAGAATCAGCAATGTATGGAAGTCTTCCTGTGAGATGTGACAGGGAGCTACTAGATTCCTGGTGCAATCTGATCCATAGTATTAATTAATATATCCTGAAAGCACATATAGAGCCCTGATCCAACACAACAGAATTCTCCACGTGAGAAATTCCCTTATCTGCAAGTTCCTCTGCTTCCACAACTTCCTCCCTGCATCATCCTTTTCCTTTACCATTTATCAATTTCATAAGTATTCCTGTCCAAATTGTTAGCATTCATACAATGCAATGCACATCAGTAGTCAAAAACTTAATTCATGCAATTTTGCAATACATTCCCTTGAAAAAAGATTTTATTTTCTTTTTTACACCTAGCATTTCCAATGAGTTACCCCTGCACCTTCAGTAAACTAGCTACATTGCAGTCCCTGCTCCCACTGACAGCTTTTGGTCAAAGTTATTAGTAAAACCAAGATGAGGTACATGAGCGATGTAAGGGTTGCCCTTGCGCCTACAAAATACCCATTAGGCCTTTTTATGAACTTTACTAATATGGATTAATTAATTTTAGGAGACCAACTATCATACAATACTTTCAAACAACACTCCTGCTCTACTCCAGTTAGTAAAATTATTTTCTCTCCTCAATTAGCAAAAAAACAGATCTTGCTTAAGAGTAAAGGAGGAGTAAACTACTTTTTTTTTCATTTATAATTTTAGTTTCTGACAATTGAAATCAACTGTGCTTTTCTACTGAGACATATCATATAAATTACCCCTTTCTGTGCTTGCAGACCCTAAGGTTTCATTAAGTGCCTACATCTCCTGTACAGCTGGAGATGAAAACCTTACAGGGATGATACAGATGGAAAGGTCATTAACAGAACTAGAGAAATGCATCTGCAAATCTCACTCTGTAAAGGTTTTATGTAACAGCTCCATCTAACTGAGATGGTATGGAATAACAGGCAGCATGCTGGAAGTCTTCTAATACTTTCCAAAGCTGGATTTATGGATAGAAGGATAAATCAGTGTATTGCGTATAGTCTGATGGATAAATAGTGGAGAGTTCTAGAGTCTCGTTATTTAGTAAATATGGATACTGTTATGGGTTCTTTCAAAAGGAAGAAAGACAACTCAAAGAATGATCTGTTCTGCTTTTAGCACAATCAGTTTCCGAAATGAGCAAGTAAATACAGCTGTCCCCAGAAGTTCTTGAAAAAATTAAGGAATAAGCATTTTCCAATTCAGTATCATTAGGAAAAAGTGAAAGAAATTACAAAGGTGATACAATACTGTTTTGTTAACTAGAGTTACTCCTTGATAGCTTTAGATTGAATTTCTCATGCAATATTTTTACCTTCATGACAGAGTGTGAACCATTTCACAAGCAAAAAAGGTTGATGAGCTGTGTTATCAGTATCAGCTAATTAACCAGATACCCAACTGATGGAAAATTCCCCTAGTCCAATGCTCTCTCTGTCCTTTTATGATATGAGGTTGTGGAACTTCTTTCAGGTTCTTACCACAATTCTGGCAAATCTAAGAGGCTTAGCTTGAGCATCTTATACCTTACTATGTAGGTGGATTCACATACTGATTCCCTTGGGATATCTAATTCTTCACCTTATTTACTAATTTTGCTAAACACATGGTAAAGGAATCATCTGTAGCAATTTGACCAGTAGACTCAAGCAGCCCAAAATCAAAAAATAAATGGCAACAGCACAACTTACACAACTTACTTCATTGTTGGGTTTCACTGTATTTGAGAAACTGATTGTAAGCAAAGGTATCTTTTCTTTGATTACACTTTACAGAATTATTAGTGTTTGCAACTGCAATTCTTCTTATGATAGAAGAGTTGCAACACTTTTTTCCTACATCTTGATGTGAAGCAGATCATTCTTGGCTGTTTGCATCCTCATTTTCTTCCCTTACTGCTCTACAGAGATGTATGTGAATTAACATGTAATTTATATGTAATGAATATGTAATTTTTTATGCAAGGTTGTTGGGACATATTATTCTATCCACTCTTCAAACGGCCACAAACAGGCCTCACTCGAATGTAAATTTAAATTCTCAGCAGACCTCTTATGGAGTTAAACAGATATTTTAAAAAATCTCAGAAAGAAAGAGTATGTGAAGTATTTTGAGTTGACTCTGCTCTCTTCTGAAAGTGCTGCCATTGAATGTGCTTGAGCCTGGGACTTCAGAGCCACAGGCAGAACTGAAGCTGCGTGTCACTCCTTGCAAGGAAAATAATACTGATGGGCTTAAGCACACAGATCCCTACAGGACAGGTTTGGACCTGGAGATGTGTCACTTTGGTTTCTGTACATGCAGCTTCTCTTCCTAACTGAAGGAATCAGAAATTTTTAGCAGGTATCAGCAGGACTGAATTTCCAGTATCTCATTAATAGCTGGTCAATTAAATATTTTCAAATTAATAATCATTTAATTCCCTAAGAAAAGTGCTGATGAATCAAAAATGCACCTCCAGCAATCCCTATTATTAAAGACACTATATTTAAGGAACTTTGTTTTTAGCAGCAGAAGCTAAATTTAACAAGGCATAATATATAATTTTGAAGACTTTCTGAACAGTCTAGATTGCTGTCATGAGTTTGTAGAACTCTTATAACATCAAAGAGAATCCAGGTACATAGCAGCCATGGCACTCCTCTTTTCCTCTGCTTTTTGACTGACCAGGAACAATCAATAAATTGAAAATACTGAACAAAAGGAATCTTTACCACAACTAAAATACAAATGAGAATATTGGCAATGACCTCTCCCCATTGCTGGATCAAAAGAACCACTATATGCACATGCTTCTGTGAAACTGTGGTGAGAAACTGCAAGTTTACCCATAGCTTGCACATTTAAATAAAGCTATAAATGCTAAAAAAACAGACCTGCCATTTCATGCATCTGCTTTTGAAGCAGAATTGTTCTGTTTATTATTCCTGCACTTTCATGCCTACAGACAGATTTACAATCTGTGAAATACATGGACTAAATAAGCAGGAAAGAGAATTCCTCTTTCTTTTATATTTCCTGTCTCCTCTAAACTTCTATTAATGAAAATCAAAGCCTTAAGTCTCAAAACAACCTGAATTATGAAACTAACATACACTGCAAAAGTCATTTGACAGCAGATTTATCACCATCACTCTACAATTTTACAGTGATTTTTAATAGTTTTCTTCACTTAGATCACAAAATCAGAAAATCAGAGAATACCAGGTTGGAAGGGACCTCAAGAATCATCTGGTTCAAACTTACTTTGGTTTGAATGTGTATGTTTGGTAAGAAGTTGGAAACAACAGAATGTGAACACCAAGGCAAAAGGACCAAAGAAGGATACACAGAAAAAGATCAGGACCTCTTTAGTAGGCTCATTGCTTATATTAATAATTAATATAGAAGTCCTCTTTTTTTATGAATTAAAGTAACTGTAAGTAGTTATTTTACAATTCCAAATTTCTTGTAAAGGTTGCTATATATTTCTGTAAGTTTCTGGTTTGATCTCTACAAAGTGTTCTTATATGAATACTACAAATTATTTACTACTATTTACTACAAAGAAAAACCCACAATAAAATGTAAAGCTTTCAGTTTATAGAAATATAAACTTGCAGTAGCACAAGACACACATTTCTCACATTCTTACTGGAGCTCTGAAATCCACTGGAAAGTTGGGAGATTTATGTTCTTCTTCTATATAAAAGTCTTCATTGCCAAACTCCTGCTCGCTGTTGGTTATCACCAGCATGCTCAAAAAACATGAAGTCCTAAGAAGGCAACAAAAAGCAAACTTCTTAAATGTTATTCTTAGTTCAGAGATCTCCTGGTTGCTTTGCAAGGTATTCAAAGTCCCTTCCTCTCAGAAGCCTCAAAAATAAGATGATGGGGCCACCTCCCTCCATCCCACATTACCTGGGTCTCTCAGAATAGGACACCCACAGAGAGAGAAAGAGGTGGTGAAAGACCTACTTGGAAACTTTAAATTATCACTAGCCGAGGCTATGCTTCATTTAAGCAGGATTCCTGCCTTGGCTTTGTTAGACTTCACTCAGCCCCTTCAATTTTACCTTAAAGTGGAGTCCATCATAATGATGACTATCTTTAGTTTACATCTGGGGGCCCAGGTTTCTGTGTCTGGAGTCCTGGGTTGCTCGCACTCACTAACACTACTTCATGCACATGGTAGCACATGAATGAACACAGCTAAGAAAACCTGTTTCATGCATAGCTGTTAGAGGCTGGTGAGAATGCTCCAAACTCAAGGTACTTCACATGCCCCTTTCTTCTCCCTCTGCAGCTCTGCCAGCACAGAAGCAGAGCAGTTTTTGAAATGGTACCTGATGCTGAATTGCACTGGTAAGTGGAAACATGAGTGTATCGCATACACTCATACACATGCACATACAAAGAGCAAAGTGAGCTGCAATGCAATATTTGACATGGCAGAGTCAGAGTGCAGCTGAAAAGTGTTGTATCAAGGTAGATGTGCTTTGCCTCCACAGAAGTCCTTCGCATTGGAAATGACCCCTCTGAGAGCATTTAATCCTGTTCAGCTCAGTTATGCACACACTTCCAAGAAGGAGAGTCAGGAGGAAATAGCTGCCATATTCAGCTGTCCAGTTCGCCAGCTCAGCAGGCTGCTCTGGTTTGGTCTCTTTGCAATTGCTGATGTGCACTTTCATGGTTTCACCATCCACATAAACAAGCTTTCCTCTATTAATGTAATGTTAAAGACTCTGTAAGGAGTCTTCCCTTTACAGGGTTTCTCAGTCCCATCAGATATGTAGCTCTTCTTAAATGCAATTAGCACTTCATGTAGTCTAGAACAAGCTTATTATCTGAAATAATTCCTTGTTGTCTTCTGTGTTTAGTTCTACACATAGCAATTTCACAACAAGTTATGGCCCATTTCAAGGAGCTCAGGATCAAATTCTTTAACAGTACATTTTGAACATAAAAATGAAAAGGCCAGTTCATACTCAAGTATCAGTGAATGACAGACTTACAATAAGGAAGCAAGCACCAATCATGACAGCTTTCATTTTTACGTCAAGGTCCATTGGGAATGTGATTCCAAAGTTATCTGCATCTGTAAAGGCTTCTTTCAAAAATCCAGTCCACTGCTTAGAAATCCTTCCAACAGTAGCAGTCTCATCCACAGATTTCACCTAGTTACATATAAAATTAAAAAAAAATATAATCTGTCATTCATAATATCCCCAAATCCCGTTCATCACAGATCCATGTGAAAGCTACAGATTGTGTTATTTGAATTAATGCAGTCATTGAATGTAACTGTACCAAAAAAACAACCCTGACTATCAGAACATCAGTCTTAAGTAGCACAGACATGAACTTAATTCTAAATCTAACTACAGAATTCAGTGCTTTAATGGTGTTGGAAGACACCTACTGCACACTGCTGCGAGTGTTGTCTTTTAAGCAAGAGAGCAAATCACTTTCTCCTGCCATGTATCAGGTGCTGCTGGAGTGAAAATTAAACAAACTACGCTGTTGTATTACAAAACAGAAATTAGCCCTTTGGTATTTCCTAAAGTTAGATGCAGTTGTCAGAGTTGCAAAATCTAATTTGCAAAATAAAATTATACTAAATTTGCTTTAGCAACTATTTGCAACATCATTTTAAATACTAAATGATAAACTAGTGTATCTACTAATTAATGTGTATGAAAATAATGATGCATTAGTCACTATTATTTTTAAGTGAAAGTTGTAAGTCTTCAGTCATTCAAATCTGTATTTTAGGTCTAAATTATATTGATTTAGTTGGTCATTGCATGATTATTAAATTATTAAATGAGTGGTTGTAGGAAGTGATTTTAATAAATACATGACACAGCTGAGAATAACATCTTTTTTAGGGACAAACACAATAGAGTCAAAAAGATTTCACTGCTAAATATTTAAATTAACAGATCTGTATGCAACGTCAGGGAATCAGTTTCACTGATTACTGATGAGTGGCTTTAAGACATCAATTCTGGAAGTTTTTCTGGTTTATCTAGAGTAATCTACATATCTAGAGAAGTGAATTGATTATACTAGCATGAAAGTATTCTGTACTAATTACTTAATATATATTACAGTTCAGTTGACAAGTTCAAGCAACAATTCAAGCAATAAATTACTATCAAACTACTACCTGAAAGAAGATACATACAAACAACTTTTAGCCTTGCATACCTCAAAATTAACATCATCACAACAGCTGCAGGCAACACATGGGCCAGAAATTTTCAATATATCCATTCTTTTCTCATCTTGAATGGTAAACTTTGGCAGGCAGGCATGCCAGTTCTGGACAACATAACCAACTGGTGTTCCTGGAGGTGCCTGAACTTCCATCTTCACAGGAAAAAGAAAATCTCCAAGTGAGCAGTCATGCTTTGTTAAGCTTGTTCGACAAACCCCACCATAACATACAAACCAAACACAACTTATTTTTCCACAACAATCTGGCTTCCCAATGGATGAAGCTGCATGGGGTTTTCTGTGAATGTTTTCAAAAAACTGCACACAAATTTCAGACTTCATATACATCTCCAGTATAAAGACCAAAGTCAAAGAAAGGCTTTGAGCATCCCAAAAGCATTCACTGAACACATTACAGGATGCAGCTACTACATATCTCTCAGTAAGAACCTCAGATCTGAGATTTCAGAAGTTGCATCATCCCATAATTAAATTAATATTAAAAAAGCTCATCATCTCACATTGAATTTCACTACAGGTTTCACAGCAGCAGTAAATTGAAAACTCTAGCTGTTACTTTATGAAAGCCGCTGACTAACTCTTACACTGCAAGTTCATCTCTAGCACAGATTTTGGTAAAGGCTACAAGTTGCCTGACATGCTGCTTCATCAAATTTTTCATTACCATAATCAGAATGGCCACAGTGAATCCAAGTGTTGCAGCGAACTTGCTTCTTCCCAGACCAAGGACCCCATAAGCAAATCCCACAGCCCTCTCTCCCCACACTTTACAGGCAAAATGTGACGTGTTTCACCTTGCCTAACTCAAGACAGCCCCATCTCAAAACTGCACAGATGGACCACTTCCCATGAGAAGGAAGAAAGTGAGAGGGAGTAACTCACCTCCTGCAAGCAGCAGGGAAAGCAGCATGAAGAACACCGGAGGGGTCTCTGCAGTGTTATCACCTCATGGCCCAGGTTGTCTATAATCCGAATGGTGAAGGGTCGTGATGGCCCACAGCAATTCCTGGTACAGCAGTCAGTGTCCTCTGCTGCAAAGTACACCCTTTGCCCCAGCGTATTCTTGATTTCGTATTTGTTGTTTGTTTCAAAGCCAGTCAAAACTGAAAAACAGGAACAGAATGGTTAAATTTCCGAGGTGCATCTGGTCAGAAAAGTCACCATGCTAACTCTAAAGCTACCCTCTGGGAAGGCAGGCCTCCCTCAAAGTCTGCCAGAGGCAGCTACTGGCAAAATGAAGTGGTGAAGGACCTTTGAGCAGAGCAGCCTGACAGAGAAGTTCAGAGAAGAGAAGCTACCATGCACATGACAAGGCAGAAATTGTAGAGATGTCCATCAGTCTCCTCCCACCAGACAGGGACACTTACTGCCAGAGCAAGCACCACTATTATATAAATAACACGGCATGGAAGATTCCCAGGGAAGGAAGAGCTTGCTTCCCAGGGAAGGAAGAGGATGAGAATTAAAAAGAAAACTTGTGAATTTGGTGAAGCAAGAACATTCAAATGAAAAGGCCATAAAAAAAGCCAACCAGTCAAGATTCACAGCAGCACAAATGGAAAACAACAAGAGCCAGGACAGAAATTTTGATTAATTTCTCTAAAAAATGAAAGCACTCTTTGAAGCACTACGGAAAGAAAAGGCAGCAACAGTAGGCATCAACTGAGATGGATGTTTCATTTTATTTCTTCCATTTGAAAGACACTGATAACAGGACTTTGATATTCTTAAAGTGAACGGAATAAGGGTAGTAGAAGGAAAGCAGTTCAATTCACTAAAACAGCAGGATTGCCTGGGAACTAGACTAGAGCTTCATGCCAGTCTGTAGAGTTAGACGGAGTAAGAAAGCACAGAAAATGACATCTTTAAGCAGGGAAGAGAAGCAAGTAGAAATCATGTGGATTAATAACATGGGAAGCAGCTTTAACTATCTACCAAGATACATTGCTATGTATCTTTCAAGATACAGAACCAGTTTAAAATCCCCTGCCCTCCTATCTTCTTGTTTCTCTCCTCCACAACTTCTGCAGAAACTGATACAGATAACAGGCAGGAAAGAGAAAGGTTGTGATCCACCTTAAAAAGATAGTATCAAAGTCTAAATTTTATCATTTCATGGGATTATTGGATTTAAACACGTCTCTCCCATAAATACTTTGCACTTACTCTCAAGAAGTTCAATTTGTTGATGAATTAATATCTGGTCAATCTGTTAATGGTTGAAAAAATTAAACAGAACAAATAGTTAACAAGTTGTAAATAAGAGAAACCTAGTTTCAAGAAGCATTACTGTTTCATTTCAGAATTCAGATTTATGGATCAATATATTGCCTAGAGGCAGATCATCTACTTGTAAAGCGTGCAAGTAGCTCATGTACTCCCATCCTGTCCTCTGCCAAATTAGCAGAACAGTGTTTCAGGGCACTGGAGCAGATGACAGTTGTTCCCAAGTTGGGCTAGTTACAAGCACACAAGGGCTCAGGCTGGCTCACTTACAGAGCCCAAGAGAGCCTCTGACACCTCATATCCCAGCCACTTATACTAGGAGTCCATACAGACAAAAGCAGGAAAATAATAAATTTTAGAGCTACTGCTCAGCTCTGAGAGAAACTCAGGGAATGCTAATAGCAAAATAAGAACAGTTTCCAAATTGCAGAACATGTCCTATGTCCTTGTACTGTAAAAATACAGTTTATCTTATCTCTGGGAGCAAATATCAAGGCTTAACACTGATAGATTTTTGCCAAATCTGCAAATTGCTGAAAAAAGAAAAAGAAAAAAAAAAAGGGCACCAGTGAGAGAAGGCCATGAGGCCATGTATCCTGAGTTTCCCTGTATCCTGAGTTTTCATGTATCCTGAGATTCCCTGTATCCTATGTTGTGAAGTCTGACTAGTATCTCTGCTAACAACATTATGAAGGTGTGAAGAAAGCACCATGTAGAAAACTAAGCAATTTTAATGTGCTACAGGTGCATATATTATATACTTTTATTATAGACACTGCCAAATCTCATTACATCTCACAAATGGTACCTTCAGAAATAGGAAAGATCTATGATAGCCCTATGCCCCTAGTAATTTAGCATCTCACTTGACAGAAGAGTACTGCATGAAGTGCTGCAACCATAACAGGCATCTCCACACTGAAACACGCATCAATTCCATTACAAAAGGCTTCATTTAGCAGCCCAAAAGTGGCAACCCACGGAACTGTAACAAAGCCACATACTTTTTTTAGCTTTTTCACATATGCAGGCTGCTTCTCAGGTGAATACCTGTTCTCTGGGGAAGAAGGAAGGGTGCAGGTACCTGAGTGAGGTATTGCAGTCCAGGAGGGCAGTTGGGAAGAGGAGGAGGGACGGGCATCCAGATTGTCCCCTCCTTCACAATGGGCTGGTTCTGTATGGGTGGAACAGCAAGTTCAGCTGGGACTCTCATGGCCTGTACCTGAAAGCCATAGCTCCCTGCACCTGCAACACCTGGTGTGTTTGGAGAGATGCAGTTATTAAAGTTAGATGTTAGAAAAGAATTGCCCCATGGATCTTCAAAAGATTAATGTATTCACTATTTTGACCTACAAAGATCCTTGTGCAAAGTTATACTGGATATGGATGTTCTAATCCCTTCAGACAAAACCAAATAAAATCAGTAAATGAATCATTATAGAATATAGCAGAAATTTTATTCACATAAAGACAGGCAATTCAAATACTAGAAATAAATAAATGAAGATTATTTCTAAATAAAGATGACAGAAACCTTAAAACAGATAAAAAGTATGAGCATTTACAAGTTGTCAGTTGAGCAAATGGGGAATTTTCAGACAAAGTGTTCCTGGAATCATACCTTCTAGTTATGGGTTAGGAAATGTGCTTTTAGAAAGTTCATCTGCAGTTTTCAAACTAAATGAATGTGATCTAAAACCAGCACCTTCCCATTCTCTTCAAAAACTCAGGAAATCCACAACTCCTTCATGGAGGAGGTGCATAGTAAAGGAGAAAATCATTCCACATTTTGTGAATGCCAAGTAAATCTTCAGTTACCACTCAATAGAAAACACAAACTCTCATGAAGCACTTCAGGGTCTAAATGCTCAGCACCCCACCAGATGGCACACGAAGCACTGCCTTGGTGCTCACAGCCTACCCCACATCCCTGGCTGAGCGCAGAGCCCTGCCTTGCCTGCAGCAACAGAGCCTTTGTAGCTGAAGCTGCTGAAGTTGCTGTTGAAGTTACAGAACAATAACTGTATTTTTCCCTCACTTAACACTTCCCTGGTAGGCTGTAGGTTTTCACTCTGATAGAGAGGAATTTTATATTTTACTTGATTATTTATAGCTCGAGTTACTGACTTGTAGATTTTAGCCCAAAACTGTTCAGCACCAGTGTTTCACATTACACTCTAATACATGGACTGTTACATATGAAAGCTCACACTGTGGCCGTAAATAGGACAGTACTTCAGGTGATGTAAACAGCTGTAGCTTAAAATTCATAGGTGGCAGAGGCCCCCACTCTAGAGAAGGATTCACCCTTACAGAATACAAAATCGCTTTTATGTTTGAGCACAGGCTTCACACACAAATGATCTACTGCTCTCATGCATAAGTATATGCATGCTTCCCTGACCATCACACAGGCAGCACATGCTCATTCCCTGCTGAAGCTAACTGTACTTTTAGACCTCAGACTGCCCTGCCACAACATGCACAAGCTTTAACTTATGAACAGCACAGTAACTCAGGCCAAACGGTTTGCATTTTATCTACAACTTATGCTTTGAGTCTGATTGTTAGTTGGTTCTTTAGAAAGCAATTAGTTACCAGAACATGAGAAGCTATTTAGAAGTGCTGAATTTTGAATGTGGAGCAGGAAATGAAATAGGAGAGGAGAAAAGCAAATCAGTGCAAGGTATAACCACATGCAAAGTACAGCAACAGGGTAGGAAACAGGCAGAAAATCACAGAACAGGCAAGAGGAAAACAATTCTTTCTTCAGTTCTGGATTTCTAGAGAAAAGTAAAGTGAAATACTGAAACAGCATATTAATTAAAAAATCTGATCATCAGCAAGAAGCTACCACACATTAATTGCTTTGCATAAGTAATACCACCCTAAAAAACTCCACACAGTAACCACTGAGGAACATTCAATGTCTTTAACTCCTACCACTGCTGGTACTGCTCAGCACCACAAAGGAAAAGATGACTTTTTAGAAAAACAGAAATTAACAGAAACACTACAAAATTAACAGCAGAAAAGGAAATCAGAGATGGTCACCCTGGTGAAATGGAATCTCACATTTCCTGTCCCTATTTCCAGATCTGTAGACAAGCAACCTACCTTGGTAAGTCCCAGGTGCATGCTGAGGGTAGCCATAGGGGACTTGATATCCTGGCACATGGTTAACGTTTGAAAATCCAGATGCTAGGTCAGGTTTATGTGCTGGAAAAATGGAACATAAACTCTGAGTATTGCGGATTTGCTCCTGCCCTACAGTGAAAAATCCCCAACACTGCCTCCTTTTTCAGGCTAGATGTAACAAAATTAAGCAGCGGCTTTCTGTATAGCAAAACCTGCATACCAAGTTCGTATTTATGCACAATATGTATATTAAACATCAGCATAATGTTTAAGAACTTAAAGGAGTTCTCATCCTTAACATGCAGAATAAAAGCAGGTATTGCACATGATGTCATAAAGATGTCACAGAATCACAGGAGCATTTAGCTCAGAAGGGACCTCTTGAGATCACCTAGTGCAAGCAGGGTCAGTTCACTGTCTGGACCAAAGGCGCCTTTGTTCATCTATATTTAGAAGCAGGCTTTAATACAAAGAATTGCCAGAGAACTGATAGGCTGCCCTCCTGTACAGAAGTGACTGGCAGTGAGTCATTCTTCATTATATAAAACATTTTCCACCAATTTCTTCAAGTTAGGACTACACTAATAATGCCTCACAAGCGGACTTGGAGGTTTATGCATTTAAAACATTTACTAAGTTCTTTTTGTAAGCAGAAATAACTTGAATTTCAAGATGATTTATTTGTTTTATTTAACTTTAGAAATCACAATCTGAAAATGTAAGCTATATTTTGGAAATCATTAGATTTCAAAATGTAAATAATTTCAATTCAAAACATATTCAACAAAAATTCATACATATTTCATAAAAATAGAAGGTAAGTAAACTAATAGCTAAGCTAATATTGCTTGAACACTGTGGAAAGACCCATATTATCTTTTGATACTAACAAAAGATTGTTTATATTTTACTCACCTTGCATTGTCATGGATGTGTTTATAAAAGTTCTGCAAAAAAAAAAAAAAGGGGGAGGGGGGGATTTTTAATACATACATACAATTTTACACAAGAGTTATTCAAAGTTCTGTATTATTGCTAAAAGATGCTTGCCTGCCTAAACCATACAGGAAAACTGAATTACAAATGCAAGTATCTCTGCTTCCTTCTAGGCTGTCTCCACCACACCGTAAGTCTGAATTATCTATGCCTGTATTCATGCTTTGAGTATCCTGAAATTATTAAGTCAGAGGAAAGCATTGCTATGTGCAGTTATTTCACTGCACTACAAGACTATTGTGCAGCCATTCAGAAACATCATGCAATTCATATGAACAAATTCCTGCAGTAATTTCGCAGCAACTGGTTTAGTATATTGATGTTGACTACAAAACCTGCTTGGGTAAATCCTGGAGCAGCCCTGATGCCATGCTGCCACCTATTCAGTTCTTTATGCTACTCCACTTCTGACATGGTACTACTAAATATCATGTATCCAATATTTGTCTTAACATGATAATGATGGGTTTGCACAGGGGAGTGGGCTTCCACAGCAGAACAGCATGAGTAAAAGGGCCAACTGCTTGTCTTTTTTCCTTATACTTTTCCAAGTATAACTCCAAAAGGAGTTAAAAAAAGGCAGAAAGAACATTTACTGATGCCAGCATTAACCTTAAGAAATATTCCTTTCTGCCTCTGGAGTAATGAGAGAAGGAAAACAATGGCAGCAACTTTTACTGAAGACAATGGTCCAAACCCGCCAGGAGAGCCACAAGTGGACGTACAGAAAAGAACAGCATAGGAGCTCCTTTTTATAGGATTGAAAGCTTTATAACAAATGATAAACCTAGCTATTCTTTAGACAGAATGCAGTTCAAGTTAAACTAGCAATATATTTTGTCTGTTACGATTCTTCCAACTAGAAGATGGCCATTCAAAGGGAAGGAAAGTGAAACTGAAAATAATTCCTTCCTGCTTTTTACTCCCGGAGTAAAAGCAGACATCACACTAGGATGTTTAATGGTTCTGGGATGACATAGGATCTCTCTCACATGCCAGCTTACACACAACATCCTCTTTCTTTAGTGTATTGGTCTTAAAGTGTTCCTTTTTCAAACCTTGTTCTTGCAGCTGATAATATAAACTGACAAGTTTAATATATGACCATATTAAAATATGTTGAGAAAACTACCAGCTTGTAGGCATAGCACAAATTAAAGATGAATAAAAAAACATAATTTAAACTAAAAAAAGCTCAATTTATACTGTGAGGTGTCCCAGGTACCTAACTTTAGTGAAATACTGAGAATTCAAACTGAACCCTTTGGTAAAGGAACGGTAGAGACCATATCATATGATTTGTTTATAAGAAAGGCTTTACAATAGCCCAGAATCTTTCTTCTCCCTACAACCACACATATATGCCACTGCACAATCTAGGATTTAGAAAATGGTGATAAACTCTACGGCAAGAAAAGTAATAAAGATTTTACATTTTACAAAGTTCAACTCCCATTTGATCAGACATTATGTTAAGAACAGTTAAGATTATGTCTTTTACTAAAATTGTCTTTCTTCTTCTATTGCTTTTTATGTAGACTCCTTCTATCACATCCAACTCAGTCACCAAGATTAGTACATTGCCATTCATGCCTTTCTTTTAATCTGAATAATTTATGAAGATTGTGAAATAACATGAAATTGTGAAATACCAAAGGAACGAGGAACAAAAACTCACTTTTGTCAACTGTATGTTGCACAATATATTGTTTAATGATGTCGCTATGCATGGGGAAATTCTCACATGGTGAAACCTCAGTCAAGAAACAGCCGTAACAAAAAGACCAGTCACTTAGAAATGAGTTGGTTCCAGCTACCTGGGTTACACAAAGCAATGAAGACTACATTTTCACTTCAGTTTAATAAAATAAGGCTTTACAAGCTGCTAGGTGTTACTAGTTCTAGTAACAGTTTTAAATATAGGGAACAATCACTGAAACATTACTTTGCAAGGAAAAGTAAAGGTATTTGCATTTATCTTCCACTAACACAAAAGAGGGAGAATACTATTTCTTTTTAATGGAGTTAAAATTCCATACAACTAAAGAAAAAAGGAAAAAAAGTGCTTCAGCAAGTAAAAGTTCATTACTGAATTAACTCTGGTTTGATAAAACAGTAGCTGCAGGAATCCCTCTCACCACGCTGGCCATGTGCTGCAACCTGAATTTACAACATGAGAGTAAATTGTGTGGTAGTGAATAAGCTGGACATGGTGGTCAAGAAGCAGCTGTGAATCTTCGCATACACTTGATAAAAAAACCTTTGCAAGGCTCTGAGCAATCTGACCTACATGTGAATTTAGGCTGGCTTTAAGCAGAGGAATGGACCAAATAACCTCCAAAGGTTATCCTTTCCAACCCAAATTATGCTAGGATTATAAGGGTCCTTCACATTTTATTACATTACTTGAGATATTTGCTGATCAAACATTCACCAAAATCCCCCAGCTGAAGCACTAAAGGGCAAGAGAGGATAGTGGGGTCCAGGCTCCAGCTCCCATCACCTCACCCCCCTGCGGGGGCCATTATGTTTAGGGCTATGCAAGAGACCCTGTGCCAGGAAAAGCCTGACAGATTCCTGTAGTAACTTACAGCTCTGGGCCCATGCTCCCAAAGGGAGTACAGAGAAGATATAAAGATACCTTGGTTCAGCTTTACACAGGGGAAAGGAGAAGTGATTTTGCTGGCAGAAGGGAAGCACCAGGGAAACACTTCATGGACAGCAGCTGTCTGATAAGGAATGACCCTTATGAAACAGTCTCTGGATGATCTGAGGTACCCCCACTGCGCCTGTGCACTGGGAGTGGGAAGGGCAGGGGCTGCCAGCTGGCTCTCCTGAAACACACTACTTGAACCCTGCAGTATGACTGATGCAGAGTGGAAATGAAAGGCAAAAGAACACACACACCTGCCCCCAGCAGTGCTTCTACTGCCAAGAGCAACCGTTGCGCCATGGGTTATCAAGCTGACAGCAGATCCCCAAACCTCATCTGCTGTAACGCTCACAAGAGAAAGGAATTTGTGTCAAGAAGTCTCATTCTTCACACCTTGTCCCTATACACTGTACTACCCAGAACCCATATTGTCAGCCTTCCTCCTCATCCATAGGAGGTCCCCATACTTCTTCCCTTTGCTCACAGAAGTAGCAGTCAATTGCTGCTAAACCCTCTAACCCGGCACCAGCATACCGCCACCAGTTCCTCACTCTCTCTTTACTTTCTTGAATCATTATTCAAATGGGTAATGCAGAAGCAGAGCATCCAGGTGCCCAGGTATAGTGGTTTTTCCCCTCCAGGAGTTTTGAATCAGGACACTTAAGGACAGCCAAAAACTTTTGGAAAGGAAATATAGGAAATGTTCCAAAGGAAGTCAGAACAATACTGTTCTGGTTCAGAGAAAACTAAGGGAACAACATTCCTAGCTTGCTCTTTTTTAAGGAATGAAATACCTATGTTCCTTTTCTGTCACTTTCCATTTTCAGAACTGCATTACACATATTCTTTATCCTGATACATATCAGTAGGTACACTGTAAGTCATTTAGAGATCTTAATTCAGTTAACTACAAAGCTTCCTAGTTTTATTAGAAAACCAGGCTATTAGCGTGACAATCAGTTTCAAATCTTCTCCAGCTCGCTGAAATACTGCCAAGAGCATACTAACACAAGCCCTCAAGCACAAACATCAAGCATGGTGCCATTTAAATACCGAGCCAGGCCATTTCCAAGAAAGCTGATGATTTAAAAAAAAAACAAAAGCCGAACAGCTGTAAGGCATGCATTAGTTCACCCTAGCTAGCTTTGTGGCACTTCATCATTAGACTATTCAGCCACTGGATTTTAACCTCAGCTACCGCAGAAACAGTATACTTTAAGACAATTTAGTTAATCTAATTAAACAGGTTATTTTCTGCTAAAGTTAATAAAACAGCCTTCAGAGAAGGAATTAAATGAGATACTCGTTGGCATTATTTTCTTCTGATGCAACAGGGCACCCTCTTTCCTCTGACATTGCCATCTCTCCTGCAACCTGCGAGTGCCAACACCCAAGGGCCAAAGAAAACAGGTCATGGTCTGGGTACCCAGCCTCAGGGACATGAAAGCACGTGCCTAACGCTGCTCATTTCACTGCTGGATGACACGACCACCGTTGCCCGAGCCATGCCTGCTGCTGCCAGCTCTCTTGAGCACAGCCTCGGCAGCAAGATCTTAGGTTTCTTAAACCATTTCTTCAAGAGCGAGTTACTTTGCTGAAGACACATTTTCTAACTGGACCACCGAGAAGAAACCGCACACGGTAAAGACACTTCTATCCACAGAAAGAATACCCGTTCCCAAAGCCGAGGAGCCGCTCCGGCACCGAACCCCGCTTCCAGCCGTGCTGGCCCCACTGCTGCCGAGCCCCTCTCCGCTCTAGCGGTCCCCGTGCCGTCAGAGCGCCTCCGGAACCCCAGTGCCGCGGGGCGGAAGCTGCCCGGGACCGCCCTGAGGGAGGCCACCACCACCCGTCCGGGAAGCGCAGGGTGGGGGCACGGGGAGGTCTCCTGATTCTAGCGGAGGCGCAGAGTTTATAAACCGCGAGAAAGGGCGCTGGGACGTTCCTCTGACCCTGGCTCTGCCGCGCTGGACGCTGTATACGTGAACGCTGCTTTCTCGGTTAACCGCTGTTTTGCTACGGGAATAGAATGGAAGGTCAAATATTTGCTTAAAATTGAGCGATGCACTGGTTCTAGAAGGTAGCAATGTCTCTTGCAGTATAACTGCTACAAATGAAATAGCGTTGGTGTTCTTCCATTAAGAAGGCAGTTCACACTTTACCATGTAACTGCTGTCTTTGAGGTGTATATCAAATTATTATTCACAGTAAAATATAACCTAAAAAATAATTTAAAAGTATGTATCTTAGGTTTCCTGTTATCTTTACATTGTCATCTTCACCTTCAGATAAAGCTTCCCCTGTCAGCTAAATGTTCAGCAAAGACAGCTAGTTCTGTGAAATCATAGAATCATAGAATAGTTAGGGTTGGAAAGGACCTTAAGATCATCTAGTTCCAACCCCCTGCCATGGGCAGGGACACCTCGCACTAAACCATGTCACCCAAGGCCTCGTCCAGCCTGGTCTTGAGCACCACCAGGGATGGAGCATTCACAACGTCCCTGGGCAACCCATTCCAGTGCCTCACCACCCTAACAGGAAAGAATTTCCTCCTTATATCCAATCTAAACTTCCCCTGTTTAAGTTTTAACCCGTTACCCCTTGTCCTGTCACTACAGTCTCTAATGAAGAGTCCCTCTCCAGCATCCCTATAGGCCCCCTTCAGATACTGGAAGGCTGCTATGAGGTCTCCACACAGCCTTCTCTTCTCCAGGCTGAACAGCCCCAACTTTCTCAGCCTGTCTTCATACAGGAGGTGCTCCAGTCCCCTGATCATCCTCGTGGCCCTCCTCTGGACTTGTTCCAACAGTTCCATGTCCTTTTTATGTTGAGGACACCAGAACTGCACACAATACTCCAGGTGAGGTCTCACAAGAGCAGAGTAGAGAGGCAGGATCATCTCCTTCAACCTGCCAATTGAAGCAAAAAAAAAAAACACCAACAAAACCAAAACACTAAAATCCTTAGTGCTTACCCTGATGGGCTGTTTCTGAAAGACTGAAAATACAGGTGAAGAAATTATTACCTTACCTTTGGTTCATTCTAATATCCGGCACTGCATTAGTACTTAATGGTATGATACTAGAGTTTGGATAGTGCAGTGCATTCATATTGCTTGAGGAAACACAAGTCTGAAAAGGTTTCTAAAAGTTGTGTAAAACTTCTGAAGTGCATTTTTGTTTGGGTTTTTTTTTAATTTAAAAAGCATTTTACACTAGATAGGTACCCCAAAAATGAGTCTTACAGAAAGGAAAGGTTTAATGATGCAGAATCCAGGCATATGTGATGGTGAGAGCTGGGGTAAGGAATGGGGGCACCATTCATTTGTTTACTCCTTTGATAACAAATTTAATTGTACACAGTGAAGCCCAAGAAAGACAGATAGCATTTTAATTTCAAACTGGACTGTATACAAGTACATTTTGTGCATGGTCCTAGGTTTATTGTACTTTCCCATTTTCATATAGACTCTGCAGAGCCACTCGCCATCCTTAATCTATTAGGAGCCCCATTTAGGATAAAGAATGAGAGGTCCAAAAAGAGAGTATCAGTAGAACTGATGAAGGTCTTTCACGTAAAAGCAGCTGGAATGTTAGGCCCAGATTATCACTATAAAACAAAGGCTCATCAGGTTTTCTGTTAAATAAAGCATACCGTAAATATATTAAAAAAACAAACAACTATTATATCTTAAAGTGCCCCATTTGTTGGTGGATTTGCTGTTGAATCATGCTAGATTAAGACAGGGGAGCATTAAATCGCTCACTTTCAGCTCAACATTTTAAGAAAGCAGCTCTTTTATTCCAAAATGTGTTGTATATTTGTCCTGGGTTCAGCTGTAACAGTTTTGATTTTCCTCCCTATCCTGCCTGGAGCAGGGGATGGAAATGGGGGAGTGAGAGAGTGGCTGCTTGGTCCCGAGTTACCAGCTGGGCTTAAACCACAACAATATTCCAAGTATTTTCAGGTTGAAGATGATGAAAAGATGCAGTTAACACCAGTGTTATGTAGATAAGCCATTGTGTGAGCTGGCACAGGTAGGATGCAGGAACAGCTACAGAACCACGGAGGAAATACAAAGAATAAATTTAATTACCTCACCAGAAAGGGTGTCCACAAAGCAGCACACAGGCAGAGGCACACAAGTGAGGACATATGCACCACACAGTTTGGTCCAATGCTAAAGGATCACTGAGCCTGCTGTGTTGGCCTGTGTATCAGGGATCCACAGAGTGGTTTAACACTGTGCTTTGATTTTTCCTGCAGTTGGGCAGGAATCTCAAGCGTGTTCAGTAGGGTGCCTCCCTATGTTGGCCTGTGTTATCCAAACACGGATGACTAAACAACGATTAGTATATGTGTTTTTCTACATCCCAGCTGCAACTCACTTGAGCATGTTTACAATCCTCCTTACCAATCTTCTGTTATTTTTGCACAGCCATATATATTAAACCATAATGCCTGATTTTACAAGGGTCATTTTAGATTTACACAGTGCTTGTTAATGATAATCATAAAATGTGCCAGAAAAACAGGTGAGATAGATTTTAGAAGATTGGCTTGTGGAGACATTTCTTTAAATGTCACTGTTAAGATTCACATGGAAGTCCTATTGTCTACAAACACGTGGTCTGTATTTTCACTGTAATTCATTTTCATTTACATATTAATAAATCTTTAATATTGAGGTTGTATTAAAAAATTACAGTCTAGGACTTTTTCTAACACATCACAGTGAATAACAAAGTATTTTCTTAGGTTTTAAATCTAATACTGAAATCTCCTGTTAGTCTCTTCAATGGTTTTGTGTCCCAGATCATTCAATAAACATGATAAATTGAGCTTAAAAAAAAAAAGTATTAGGGTCTTTCAAACTTCTGTTCATACTGTTGAAAGCCCTGTCTTTCATTCTTCAGGAGCATTTGGATATTATTACATGTACAGTTGTACAGGTGCAGATAAAACCTAATAAGATGCAGTATGCAAGTCTTATTTTCAGGACAGAATTATAAAACAAAGCAAAGAATGGTTCTGTTCTGTCAGAGGGTCTAAATAATGGATCTGTGGTAGCAAAATGCACTTTTGATATTTGCATCTCTAGGCTGCTGCTATCCTTTTCTTTCAATATCCATTCCTACTCCACAAGGCCTGGGAGTACTTCCAGACAAGTACTAGTTACCTATGAAGACAATCCTGTTTGAGAGATGAGTAGAAACAAATATGTATGATGTTTTCAAAAGAACAGAAAAAGCTTATCTCAGAATCAAATGATCACAGTGTCAAGTAGGCTATAATAAGTAGCGTCATTCTGGAACACAAGGGATTTTGGATGGCATCAAATAAAGCCCCTTGCCCAGACAGCATAACAGTTAGATCCCTCAGCTTTGAATACCTTTGCAGCAAGGTTTTCACTGCAGTTCAGCTTGGATCACATTATATACCTTGAAGCAGTAGATGGAGGAATTTGATGCTGTATTTGATGTTATAGTGCCTAAATTAGAGACTTATAGTAAAAAAGCCAGCATCAGTCCTGACAGCTTCTCCAGGAATACCAGGGACACAGGGAACTCCTGGTGGGTAACCCAGAAAGACAAAATTGCTTTGTCCTTGGTAAAGAACAGAACTTAAAAATAAACATTAACCGCACACCACTCCTAGGTAGGATGCTAGAAAACAGTATGAAATCCTGTCCCCAACTGTCACCTCTTACAGCTACCAAATTAATAGCCCAGTTTTCATGGCCTTCAGTCTGACCAGGAATGCACTCAGCTACACCAAGGCCTGAAATCTTGACAAATTGCTCCTAGAATATGGGGCTTTGAACTTCCATAGAAATACCTGAGAGCCTCAGCATGAACAAAACAGTGAAAGTGCTGAGGGCCTGATGAGCTACACAAATTAGTACTTTATCACATGAAAACATTCAAATGATTCAAAATGATCTTTGGTGTGCTCCTGCTATCATCAGGGAGCTGGCCCTTGATGCCCATCCTAGCTTTTGGAAAACTTGGATACATCTGGAAAAGTACCAACTTTTCTGGATTGCCTTAAAGGCAACCTTATAATAAAACTCAGCAGAAAAGAGTAATAGGGATGCTGTCTGCAGCCTCCCACTGCTGGCAGGCAGCCAGCCCTTGCTCTCCCCACCCTGCCTCCCTGAGTTGGAGCCACACACTTACATGGGTGCCAGGGCAGGAGCAGCACTTGGCTGGGCTTCAGCTCATTCCCATAACAAAGTCATGCCCTCAGAAGAATGACATTATGATGTTGTTGATGTTGAAGTCCATGCTGTTTACAGAGCCACATGTTTAATATCCACTACAAACAAACAAACAGGCAAACAACAACAGAAAAGCAACACACAAAAAACCCAAACAAGGGGAAAAAAAAAAAAAACACAAACCCCAAACCCCAAGAAAACCAAACAAAGCAAACCCAACCTGCTATCAAAATGTATTCCTCTGTTTCAATAGGAAAGAAGAAAAAAACCCAACAACAAACAACCCAAAACTCTTTCTCTTTTCAGGGTTTTTGTCCTCTCTCAGAGTGGGAGGGCAGAAATGATATTTTGTTTCTGAGTGTAAAATCCAAAATATTTCTAAAGATTTCATAGCTTTTCTCTTTATGATTTTGACTTTTTCCATCTCCAAACTTAGAATATAATGGCAATTCCGTGCCTTTTTTTTTTTCCTTCACTTTTTTAGCCCAGAATGCATGGTCCCCTGGAAAGGAATCCAAATTGTATTTGGAACAACTTTACCTTGCATATGA